TGTCTCTAAGGAAACACCGTGTCACTTTCCGACCCAGCATGAAGTCATGACCCTGTGTTTAAATACTGACAACTGATTGGTTCCCTGCTGTGTGTAAAGATGAACTCTTTATTTGTATAAAGTTGTAAAAATGAATTAAAAGTAGATTTAGATTAAATTATGTGATTAATAAATATATAAAATTATTCAAAAAATATTCAAAGCAACAGCTGAACTCTCTCACACACACACACACATAAATAAAAAGAATCCTGTTGGTTTTTCAAAATAAATGTCTGCAGGAAGTAGCCACATGCTCTGAAAGAAGAAAACAATAAAAGTTTCTAGTCTTGTCATATTTGTTGTACTATTGTCAAATGTGGAAACTTTGCACTTGAGCTTTAGAAAAATTAAGTTTTCCGTCTTGCTGTAAATTATTTCACCTGAAATAAAAATAAAAATGTATCTGCTGACGCTGCTGCTCTTTGTCACATTCTTATTTTATTTTACAGAACACCACAAATATATTATTTAAATGTTTTTAAGGATCAGTTTAACAAAATGACTTCCTTCAAAGATAAAATATAAGTTTGAGTTTTTAGGTTGGATTTCATTATTGACTTCTGATCAAAACATTTAAATAAAAATAGGAGGAAATACTTTGTTTATTTCAGTTGTTCAGATGAACTCGGGTCAGATACCTCGTGTCTGTGACGGATATAGATTTTGTATCGATGAGTTATTGATCAGAGTTTTAATGTTAAAATAAAATAAAAAATCACCAAGAGAAGGAACCAACCTTCCTCCGTGAGGAACCTTTGTGTTGCCGCTGCTTGTTTGCTGTCGGACCTCTGTCCTCGGCCCTCACTTGTGTGTTGGTGAGTTGTTGGTTCGTCTCCGTGTCTTCGGCCGGTCTCCTCTCCGGTGTTAACCGTGTTTTCTCCGTTAAACTCTCCGCTCTCACCGGACATGTCGGGCGGCGGGAGTCCCGCGGGCGGCGGCAGCTCTTTGTTCTCCGGTTTCCGGGTTCTGGGTCTTTACTCCAACCACGTGCCGCACGCGCTCCGGTACCACCACAAGCACCGGGAGTTCTACCTGGTGACCGCGGTCGGTAAATGTCTCCACACGTACAACGTAAGAGAACACACGCACACAGACACGCACACACACAGACACGCACACACACACACACACACACACACAGTTTTACTGAAGTTTTTATCCACCAGTTTGTCCACTCACGGCTCCTGTAGAACATACATGTTACGTCACAACATACGTCACATGTTTAAGGACTAGTAACATGCTCTATGTGCTTCACATACATATGATTAGTGTGATGATCAGAGTTCTGACTGTCAGGGTCAGATCATGTATGTTCATATTAGATCATGTATGTTTGTGTAAGAGACAGACTCTAACATTAGCTCTGTCCTCAGTAGGGGCCCTCAGTGCAGTAGGTTCCCTCAGTAGGGGCCCTCAGTAGAGTAGGGGCCCTCAGTAGGTTCCCTCCTCCATAGTGTTTGCGTGCTGCTTGTGATGTGAACACATTGATCCCTGTATTAATTATTGATTATTGATTATTGATTGATTCCAGGTGAACAGGTTGGGGATCGTGGCTGTCGGTGAGTTTTCAAAATAAATCGAATAAATTCAATTTAAATATAAATGGATTCTGTTTTCTGACTGTTGCTCTGCTGTGGTTTCCTAGGTGACAGCCTGTCAGATGACATCACCTGTCTCGCAGCTGACAGGATGTTGGTGTTCGCTGCTTCTGGGAAACTCGTCAGTGCTTTCGCCCGAAACAAAGAGGTCAAACTTTT